CTCCTATCCTGATTCGTAACCGCTGCGTGCCCGTCACTTTCAAAGAATGCCCGCCGACCGTCTGCATCGTGATTGAAGATGGGTTTACTGGAACCCCATTGAACCTCTTCGTAATTGACACTGCCGCTCCTGTGTCTACTATGGCTCGGACAGACACACCTTCTATAGTTACCTGGAGGACTGGTACTCGCCACCGACTCGGCATGGATAGAGAGAAACAATGGGGCACATTGACGTTGGTGCAGAATCTCGCCACATGACCATTCTGGTTGCATCGGAAACAGCGGCGACCGTTCCGGATTACCCGTACATTGCGTTGTGAAGTGGTGCTTGAAGACTCTATCGACAACAGCTGCTCCACCATTTCGGATAGGCGATTTACTTTCTGTTCCAACTCAGCATGCTGGATGCTTCTCACTGTCACTCGTTCCGACAAATTCTGGGCGACCGTCACCAGATCCAACGCTTTGCTGTCTCCCACCATCGACGCCAATTTCACCTGATCATGGAGTGGACCGGGCAGACTTCGGATAAACTGCTGTTTCAGTAGGCGCTCTCTTGCGTTACCCTCTAACTCGGGGAGCCCAATCGTTAGATGTCTGTCCAGCTGCTGGAAAAACACCATCAAATCCTCCTGTTCGTCCCATCTGGCTGCGTGAAATCGTTGCAGTGCTCGTTCTCTCTCCAGATCCTTCCCAAATTCTGCACACAAGGCAGCCCTCATCTCAGCGAACGAACAACCGGGTTTGGCCTTTCGAGTGAGCAAATACACCGCCTTGGCTCGTCCACTCAACCGTGTGCCCAAAGCAATTAGCAAATTTGCATCCCCCCTCACACCCGTGCAAGCCGCAATTCCGTCGAACTCATCGAGCCACGCCTCCACGTCACCGGCCGCAAATTGCTCCAACCGGGTCAACTCCATCGCGATTGGTCACGGCACCAGTGTAGCGAGAACGACAAGACAGGGGGGTAGACGTTTATTGCACACCGAAAATGGGCACATGAGGGTCTCGCGCGCGCCATCGAATATCGACTAGATTTCCGTCCCACAACGCAACACAGGTACGGATGTTAGAGACGAGCCAGTCCTTTCGCCTCGGGAGCTCTGACTTGGAAGATCCGCCTTCCTGTTTTCGCCTCGATCTCCGCTTCTCTGCACCCGATTTGGATCGGCCAGGAGTCGTTCGAGAGCTCTCGACTTGCTTGTTCTGGGCTGTGTCAATCGGCTCGGCCTCGGTCCTGTGGGCTGCGCTAGCGGCGTATTTGTCTGATTTATTGCGCTGTCCACATATTCCCGCTCCGTAGTTCCGGGCCCAGGCTCGTCGCTAGCCGTCTTTCGCGATCCGCTCTCAGCTAGCTCCGAAGAGCTCCCCAGAGCCATTCTTGGAAGCGGCCCCTCTACACCCGCCCCTCCTCCAGGACCTTTCTTCCTCTCGTACCATGGTCGCAGGAGAGCAGCATTCACCCAACGTTTCATTCCTCCGCAGTCGATTAAGAAGTTGCCCGCTTTCTGGTCGATAATGGTGTAGGGGCCTTTCCAGCGTTCTCTGAACTTGCTTGCGCCCGGCCCGTCATGATCCGGCCGATCGTTGTTCCGTAACTTGACCCGTTCTCCAATCCTGAATGGCCTCCACTTGTGAGCCTCATGCCTGGCGTCGTAATTTCGCTTATTCCGCGCTTGTCGAGCTTTGGTTTCGCTTCTAGCTTTCCATCGCAGTCGCTCTTGATGCTCAGCTGGATGTTTCCACTCACCCTGGTTCGGTAGGCAAGTATCGAGCGCAATCCGTGGTTCTCTGCCGAACAGTAATTCGAATGGCGAGACCTTGGTGGTTGATTGCATGCTGGTCCGATACGCGATCAGAACCTGAGGCAAAGCATCTTCCCATGCCAACTTCGTGCAGTTTATCCACGTCTTCAATGTCCGGTTGAACCGCTCGGTCATCCCGTTGGTTTGTGGGTGGTACGGTGAAGTTCGCCGTCTCTGGATGCCCCACTTGTCCAACACTGACTTAAACGCTCTTGACTCGAAGCAGGGCCCTTGGTCCGTGATGATACACTGTGGGATCCCATACCTTGCAGGCACATTGAATTCGAATACTTGCGACACTGTCTCGCCTGTTTGGTCCTTGATTGGTATGGCTTCCACCCATCGAGTGAAGTGGTCAATCATCACTAGAATGTATCTGTTTCCTGTTCGACTCACTGGTAAGGGCCCAAAGACGTCCAGTCCCCAACACTGAAGTGGCTCACCAACCTCCATCGATCGCATCGGCGGTCTCGGGGACTCCATCTCCCGACTCGTTTGGCAGTTTGGGCACTCCCGAAGGTATGCCGCGACGTCCTTCCTCATGGTTGGCCAAAACACTCGCCTCCGCAGCAATTCAAAGACCCGCTCGAATCCCATATGGGCGCCATCATGAGTTATGCGCATCACACGTTCTCGCTGATTTGGTGGAACAAAAGGCACTTTCCGTCCGTCTATCGCCACCACCACGTTATCGTTTTCGACCTTCAACCTGTCCCAGATCTTGAGGAGTTCCTCCACCTCCTCCGATGTAGCCTCCGGTTTGGTGCCAGCCCGTAAGTGAGAGCACAACACATTCACGAATTCATCTGTCCTTTGATCTCCCAGCAGGTTCCTCTCCCCCATCGCGATCGCACGCACCGGTATGGCATTGTCTGGCATGATGTCGTCCAAACACGGGCGTGACAACATATCTGGCAATACATTTTGCGTTCCATCCACGTGCTCAATGGTGAAGTTGAATTCCTGCAATCGGTAGGCCCATCGCGCAAGCCGTCCCCGCGGGTCTTTCGCCGTCATCAACCACGAGAGCGGTTTGTGGTCAGTGACGACCCGGAATTCATTCGCCAGTAAGTAATTTCTCCACTTCTCTAACGCCCACACGATGGCCAAGCATTCTTTCTCCGTTGTTGAATACTTCTGTTCCGCCCCCGTCAGCACTCTGCTCGCGTACTCCACCACCCCAGCCGGTTGAGACAAAACCGCACCGATGGCCACGTTGCTTGCGTCGACAGCCACAGTGAACCTCTCACCAGGATTGGGTAGCCGTAGACATGTCGGGGCTTCTGCTATGCCTGCCTTTAGATGGTCAAAGGCCTGATCCGCTTCAGCTGTCCACACGAAGGGCACGTCCTTGCGAAGCAGCTTTAACAACGGGCTGACCTTCTCTGCGAACTGGGGCACAAACTTTGAATCATATGCCACCACTCCCAAGAACGAACGGAGCTGACGCTTGGATTTTGGTTTTGCGAAGCACTTGATCGTCTCGCGTTTCTCCGGAAGTGGATGGACTTGACCATTGCCCACGATGTGACCCAAGCATACAATTGACTTTTGGGCAATCTGCGACTTTTTACGACTGAGTTTCAGACCAGCTTCATCTAGCCTCTGCAGTACTGCTCCAAGTCTGGTCACATGTTCCTGTTCCGTCTCAGAGAAGACGATGATGTCATCACCGTACACAACCACGCCTTGCAGGTTCGCGAGGACCATCAGCAACAAACGCCTGAATGTAGCCGGGGCGTTGCACAATCCAAACGGCATTCTCAAAAACTCATACTGCTGGCCATTGACACTGAAAGCTGTCTTGTGGCGATCTTCTTCTGCGATCGGCAGTTGCCAATATCCCGAGCGGAGATCAATCAGAGATATCTGCTTCGCACTGTGAAGGCTTGAGAAAATTTCTTCCATCTGAGGCATCGGGAATGCATCCTTCACCGTCACCCTGTTTAGTTCTCTGAAATCGATGCAAAATCGATAGGTTCCGTCGGCCTTCTTCGTCAATAGCACGGGTGATGAATACGGGCTGTGCGTTCGCCTGATGATTCCTTTCGATTCCATCTCGGTCACCTGCTTCTGTATCTCCACCAGGGTGTTCTGTGGAATTCGTCTGAAGATTGGCTTGCATTGTCCTCCTGGGATCAACGGTATTCGGTGTTCAACCCAATTGCAAAATCCGTAATCATCTTCCGCGTCTGTGAATAAGTGGGCATACCTGCTCAGTACGTTGCGTATTGCACGGTTCTGACAATCAGGCACGGCTTTGAGGGCACCAACCCGGTCGGTTCTCCCCTTGTCTATCTCGATCGTATCGTTAGCCACGATCACCACATCGTTTTTCAGGTCAATTGTGACACCGAGCCGTTTCAGGATGTCGGTTCCGATGATGGTTTCGGTCGTCTCCTCCACGATGAACATGTCATGGCTGATGAGCGTTTCTCCTATCCTGATTCGTAACCGCTGCGTGCCCGTCACTTTCAAAGAATGCCCGCCGACCGTCTGCATCGTGATTGAAGATGGGTTTACTGGAACCCCATTGAACCTCTTCGTAATTGACACTGCCGCTCCTGTGTCTACTATGGCTCGGACAGACACACCTTCTATAGTTACCTGGAGGACTGGTACTCGCCACCGACTCGGCATGGATAGAGAGAAACAATGGGGCACATTGACGTTGGTGCAGAATCTCGCCACATGACCATTCTGGTTGCATCGGAAACAGCGGCGACCGTTCCGGATTACCCGTACATTGCGTTGTGAAGTGGTGCTTGAAGACTCTATCGACAACAGCTGCTCCACCATTTCGGATAGGCGATTTACTTTCTGTTCCAACTCAGCATGCTGGATGCTTCTCACTGTCACTCGTTCCGACAAATTCTGGGCGACCGTCACCAGATCCAACGCTTTGCTGTCTCCCACCATCGACGCCAATTTCACCTGACCATGGAGTGGAACGGGCAGACTTCGGATAAACTGCTGTTTCAGTAGGCGCTCTCTTGCGTTACCCTCTAACTCGGGGAGCCCAATCGTTAGATGTCTGTCCAGCTGCTGGAAAAACACCATCAAATCCTCCTGTTCGTCCCATCTGGCTGCGTGAAATCGTTGCAGTGCTCGTTCTCTCTCCAGATCCTTCCCAAATTCTGCACACAAGGCAGCCCTCATCTCAGCGAACGAACAACCGGGTTTGGCCTTTCGAGTGAGCAGATACACCGCCTTGGCTCGTCCACTCAACCGTGTGCCCAAAGCAATTAGCAAATTTGCATCCCCCTCACACCCGTGCAAGCCGCAATTCCGTCGAACTCATCGAGCCACGCCTCCACGTCACCGGCCGCAAATTGCTCCAACCGGGTCAACTCCATCGCGATTGGTCACGGCACCAGTGTAGCGAGAACGACAAGACAGGGGGGTAGACGTTTATTGCACACCGAAAATGGGCACATGAGGGTCTCGCGCGCGCCATCGAATATCGACTAGATTTCCGTCCCACAACGCAACACAGGTACGGATGTTAGAGACGAGCCAGTCCTTTCGCCTCGGGAGCTCTGACTTGGAAGATCCGCCTTCCTGTTTTCGCCTCGATCTCCGCTTCTCTGCACCCGATTTGGATCGGCCAGGAGTCGTTCGAGAGCTCTCGACTTGCTTGTTCTGGGCTGTGTCAATCGGCTCGGCCTCGGTCCTGTGGGCTGCGCTAGCGGCGTATTTGTCTGATTTATTGCGCTGTCCACATATTCCCGCTCCGTAGTTCCGGGCCCAGGCTCGTCGCTAGCCGTCTTTCGCGATCCGCTCTCAGCTAGCTCCGAAGAGCTCCCCAGAGCCATTCTTGGAAGCGGCCCCTCTACAATATGGCTGCTCTGGAGACTCCACGACGAAGAGCGACTGAAAGTGTCAAGGGGTTGCTCCATCTCCCATACCAAATTGGGCTGATAGCCTT